TTTTGAAAACTATGATCATCGTCGCTAACCAAAACCCAGTATGAATCATGCAACAACCAAATTAGCGATGCGCTTGACGCCTACCAGCGTGCTGCAGAGCTTGACCCTCAGAACCCTCACATTAAAGCGCGTCTGCAGCTGCTGAGGAACGGCGGCGCCAACGGAGGACAACCCCCCAGCGCTCCTCAACCTGCCGATGTTCACCCTCAAGCATACCAGGTCGGTCCTCCGGCACCCCAGTGGGGAAGCTCTGCTCCTCAGTCCCAGCAGCAGGGAGGACAGCAGCCTCCTCCACCGCCTGGTCCCGGCGGCCCTGGCAGCAACGGCTGGGGTAGACTCGCGGACATCAACCCCCCTCCGCAGCCTCCTAACCCCTATGAGCAGCGCGGCGAGCCATTCCGCGGACCTGCTCCTCCCATGCCGCGCCAGCCAAGCCCCAGGCAAGAACAGCAGCAGCAGCAACAACAGCAGCAGCACGGTGGCCGCCCGCCCTACCCTGAGTCGATCCGACGGATGCCCAGCCCACCATCGCACTACTCGGGACCGCCGCAACCTCCCCAGCAGCCCCCTCAAGGTGCTCCCACATCTGCGCCGCGCACCATCAACCCCAACTACTCTCAGCAGTCTTCTGCTCAGATGCCTCCCATGAATGCCGGCCCCAACGGCCCTCCCAGCCAGCCGCCGCAGTTCCGCGGCGCCAACAGCCCCCGGCCGGGCGAGCGGCCCATGCATGAGAACCGCATGCCTTCTCCCAAGTCGGCGTACCCTCAACATCCCCCGCCTCCGCCGCCGCCGTACAGCCATCACCCTGATGGTCCTACCCCCGGTCCCATGGAGGGCGGTGCCCCGCCCCCTCCGCCTCCCGGTGCGATTCCCGCAGACTCGGCAGTGCAGCGTAACGAACATGACCGTCCTCCCTCGGTGGGTCCCAAGCGCATGAGGGAGTGGGAAGAGGAATCGTCTCATAAGCGCCCGGCCAACGATGAGAGCCGAGCTAGGCTCGACGACGTCCGCCCTCGACGCCCGTCGACCCCTCCGGGACCCCGGGACCAGTACCGCCGCAATTCGTCCGAGGCCCGCCGCTTCGAGGATCAGCGCCGCGTCGATGACCAGCGTCGCGTGGAGGACCAGAGAAGGGCGGAGGACATGCGGAGGGGCGAGGAGCAGCGCCACGCCAACGATGGGTACCACCCTTCGGAGGCGGCTCATCACCCGCCTAGCCACCCAATGCCTTCCAACCACCTCCCGCCGATGCAGTCGGCTGCTGCGCCGATGCAGAATATTCTCCACGAGGGGGCGCAGAACGGCCCCGGACCCGCCTCCGGGCCGGCTCCTGGTGTCAAGGAGTACCCTGCCGAGGAACGGCCGCCGATCGAACACACTCCGGCCCCCCGGCCCCCCCAGTCGAGCGAGCCGGAGCGAGCAGCCCGGAAAATGGATGTTGACGAAGACTACGATGACAGCGGAGAGGATGAAAAGAAGGGCGCTGTTGCGACAACCAACGGCTCCGGCCCTGCCCCGGCGTCGGGAGAGACCAAGACGCCGACGAGCGCGAGCATCAACGGCCTGATGGGACCTACCCCCAAGGTCGAGTCGACTTAATGGATCAATGGCAGTTTGACGTATGGTTTTCTTTGTATGCGTATCCTGTGTTCCCTTTTCGTGTATACCATTTCGTTCTTCAAGCTTGTCCCGTCTCGAGAACCGCCTTTCGTTGGACATTGGCCTGGCTAGGCAATTAGGTAGCTCATGAAGACAATACCAGTGCATGAATGTCCTCTTAGTCACCACCGTTACATATACATTGACACATCAATCCCGGGTCGAGACCTTTTCCTAACCAGAAACCCACATGAGTTGCAGTTTCCGTTGTACCCATGAAGCGCCGGGTTGTGCGCATATTTGGGACGCTAACTCTTGAATTTGTTTTTGCGCTTAACCCCGGTTGTCTCTATCTTTAATGGACGCTACTATGGACAGTGTGTTACCTGATGAATTCATCGGGGAAATGGGGTAGGGTGCCTTGGCAGCCTATAGCAATCAGTACCGGCTATTGCTACACACCCTAATGGGATGATTTTAAGTTGGCAATTAGTAGAGGTTGTTCAATAGGACAGCTAGTGGAACATCGATGCAACGCTCAGGAGATCATGAAAGTTAATTTGGTTGTGGTGGCCGTGGTAGGAGGTCAGGAGGCCAGCAGACCTCTCTAGACGACTAACAGCGATTACTACTGGCCATCACTGCAAGCTTTAATAGAACACTTTCGAGTTAGCAATCAGTGGAGTTGTAATGTATTAGTCATAGGTAAGGAGGCGCTTGTTGACGCAAGATGGGTTAGTTGCTAGCTGATAATAAATGGGCCGTGCTTGGTTTGATGTGGATTTTCGGCCTGGCCTCATTCCCAGCAAAATACCATCTGCAAGGCCTTAGGCTTTGTCTCAATACATATCAAAATCAGTCTCAGGTCTGTAGGCCCCTAGAACTGAGTGCAGGGCAGGCTTGTTTAAATTCCATCTTGATACATCTCAGCACACTAGAAGCAATATCAGGTCTCTGGTACTCATCAAGCTGCCCCGAGGCTCAAGATTGATGGGGTGAGCAGTGTACGAGTAAAACCCAATTTATTCCAGACGCTTGAGGGCCTGAAGGAGAAAGCGAAGCTCACCCCGAACCAGCGAATTGGAATCGATCACTGCGACGACCTTAACACTCGCCCTGAGGTCAAGCGGAGTTCTCTCAATGCAAATTAGAAGTAGTATCGGGTCTAGCTGTCTAAAATCATCAGACTGCCTCGAGTCTTGAGATTTATGTCGTAGGCAGTGTACAAGCAAGCTATTTCCTCTTGCAGGGGTTCCAAACGCTAGAGGACCTAAAGGAGAAAGCTCACCCCGAGCCAGCAAATCGGCATCGATCACTACGACGACCTCAACACGCATCAGGGGCTTCTCAACGCGTTCATTAAAATAAAAAGCAACCAGCTGGTCCTTCGCGCGCCAAAAAGGGACCGCACGATCCTACTAAGCTATTGCCGCGGAGCAACGGCAGTACATTGTCGAGCGTTTGTTACCAGATGACGGAACGAGGTGGGAAACAACATTGTTAGGATGCTGGACATTCACGGAGAATGTGCCACTATCACGTGCAACGGCACGTGGCTAGCCTTGACTGCCCCTTGTAATAACGGAGGCAAGACCTACCCTCTGAGGTGGGTGGGTCCCACCCACCAATTTTGGCGAAATTTTATTTTTTGCTTACACATTTTTCTCTTTCTTTTAATTGCGCGCTCTATTCCACTTACTTGTCGACACATTCTCCCGAACCAGCGGCGCCAATTCGAATTACGGTATCACCAACTCCGGTCTTCTAACATTTACAGGAGTCATGAGTCACAGAAAGTTCGAGGCACCTCGTCACGGTAAGCTCTTTCTGCTTGAAAAATGGTCTAAAAACGGTCAGGATTGGTACTGATTTCATGTAGGGTCGCTGGCGTACCTCCCGCGCAAGCGTGCCGCCCGTCACCGCGGTAAGGTCAAGTCGTAAGTTTCCCGAGAAGCTCCGTTGGATTCTGTATGCTCGGGGGTGAAACATGGGCGGTTTGGACGTTGAAGACGGCAAAGGCTGACGATGGCGATACTCTCACAGCTTCCCCAAGGATGACGCCAAGAAGCCCGTCCACCTGACGGCCGCGATGGGCTACAAGGCCGGTATGACCACGATCGTCCGCGACCTCGACCGCCCCGGCGCCAAGGCCAACAAGAAGGAGGTCGTCGAGGCCGTGTCCATCATTGATACCCCACCTGTACTACCAACGCAGCCCGCTTGGCTCTGTGCCTATGGCTAACATCTTTACAGATGATCGTTGTTGGTCTTGTGGGCTACATCGAGACTCCCCGCGGTTTGCGCTCGCTCACCACCGTTTGGGCCGAGCACTTGAGCGACGAGATCCGCCGCCGCTTCTACAAGAACTGGTACAAGTCTAAGAAGAAGGCCTTCACCAAGTACGCCAAGCAGCACTCTGAGGCCTCCGGCGCTTCCATCACCCGCGAGCTCGAGCGCATCAAGAAGTACTGCACCGTCGTCCGCGTCCTCGCCCACACCCAGATCCGCAAGACCCCTCTTACCCAGAAGAAGGCCCACTTGATGGAGATCCAGGTCAACGGTGGCTCTGTCCCCGAGAAGGTCGACTTCGGCTACGGTCTCTTCGAGAAGCCCGTCACCATCGACTCCATCTTCGAGCAGAACGAGATGATCGACGTCATCGCCGTCACTACCGGTCACGGATACAACGGTGTCACCTCCCGCTGGGGCACCAAGAAGCTTCCTCGCAAGACTCACAAGGGTCTGCGCAAGGTCGCCTGTATCGGTGCCTGGCATCCTTCCCACGTCCAGTGGACTGTTGCCCGTGCCGGTCAGATGGGTTACCACCACCGTACCTCTGTCAACCACAAGATCTACAGAATTGGCAAGGGCGACGCCGACGACAACGCCTCCACCGACGTTGATGTCACCAAGAAGACCATCACCCCGTATGTTTCTCCCCCACCGTCATGGGTTTTTTTGCCATCACAACACTAACACCGCCTTAGTCTCGGCGGTTTCGTCCGCTACGGTGAGGTCAAGAACGACTTCGTCATGGTCAAGGGCTCCATCCCTGGTACCAAGAAGCGTGTCATGACTCTCCGCAAGTCCATGTTCACCCACACCTCAAGAAAGGCCCTCGAGAAGATCGACCTCAAGTGGATCGACACCTCGTCCGAGTTCGGACACGGTGCTTTCCAGACCCCCGCGGAGAAGAAGCAGTACCAGGGTACTCTCAAGAAGGACCTTGTTGCTCAGTAGAGTGTTCGTTCTTCGATTTCATTGTATCATGGGTATGGGTTAGGTGTCGAGGGTTCTTCACGTTACTATTCGGATGGTTTGGGACACCGTTAAGGTGAAAAATAAGTGCCGAGAATTCAAAAGTCAACCCAATGAATACATAGCCCACCCGTATGTTATTTCCGCTGGAGCTCGTGAAGTGAATTTTTTCTATGTACGCCATTCAGACACAATTTTTAGTTGTGGGCACTTGCCGCGAATCGTAGCCCATGCCGCTAAGGTGGTGGGGGCATTGACATTCCTCCTATCCAGCGGCGTACCTAGCCGGCTTGTTGCGTCATCACCTGCCCAGCCATGGCGTGCATCTTCCTGCGAACCAAACACGCGACCACATCACCCCTCAATTCCCTACTCGGCGTCTCCGCGTCCTCTACAAATCGAATGAAGACCGCATTTCCGCAGACGATTTCTCGAAGTATCTGGCACCGAGCGCTGCCGACAACCGCAAGGCACCCCAACACAACTGACGCATTCATCCGTCGACTGCACCTCCCAAGCAATAGCTTCCAAGCCCAGCCCCGTCAGGCTCTCAACAGATTCTCCACGATCCCACATCTCGGAATGTCCGACGCAGACTACGCGGCGTTCCTGGACAAGGCCAACCAGGACCCCAACGAGGGCTATGTCAAGTCGACAGGCAACAAGAGCACTGAGTTCAAGGCGCAGGACCAGGGTATTGAGGTGCCCAAGGCGATCGAGGAGGTGCTGAAGCAGGACAAGGTGTACGTTTCTGACGCGGACGAGCCATTCGTCGGCGTCGCGCTGGCGTGGGATGAGGCTGGCAAGGGTCTGCCTGATGAAGGTGAGTTCCTTCGATTATTTCCATTCCATCGCGTGCCTCGCAGGAGAAGCGATGCGCACTCAGCTTATTTCATGCTAACTCGGGGCCGCAGTCGAATTTGCGCAACTGATCGAACACCCGGACCCTGAGAACGCGGGCGTGGAGCTCCAGGACCCCGTGGACTGGGACTCGAATGGAGACTATAAGGACATCATCGAAGCGGTGCGCAAGGCGGGCAAGGGCAACGACGTCAGGGTCTACCAGGTGCCCAAGGGCGGCGCCAGGACGGAGTACTGGCTTGTCACAACGGATGGGAAGGGAAAGAACGCAAAACTTGTCGGCGTCAAGGCGCTGTCTGTGGAAAGCTGATACCCTCGAAGAGCGAAGAGATCAAAAGAATGTCGGGGAATGGAAGCAGGGATCAAGAGGTCAACGTGGTCCACTCACATCACGTTGCAGGCCAACTCGAACCTCATTTACTGTAGCATTCTTACTTTGAAAAAGAGAGCAATGCCGCGGGTAGTACAACTCAAATCACGCAACGTACTCCTAGTCGCACCAAGTATCGTCTTAGCCGTTGCTTCCTACCATCTGGCTACTTGTTCAGGCCGAGGGTCTAGACCAGATTGGTGGAACAATGGGCAGACGGTGGGGGCATTGTGTGTCACTGACGCAGCGGAGGTGCCACTAACGGCAACGCCTGCCTCTCGCCTTATCGAGGCGCAACGGCAGTGAACTTCCGCTTATCGGACCCTGCTTGGCTTGCAACCCCTCCAAGACCGGAGCTAAATAAATCGGTTACACACTCTCTGGATGCGGTGACTCAGTCACAGAAAAACAAACGACTCTTCCCGTCTCACCTACACATAACCAGTCTCGCCAGCGGACCGGATCAGCATGTCGGGACCGGTAAGTCCTCGCCACCTCCCAATTGGCTCCGCCCGCAACGGACTCTACTGTAACTGACACCGCCGCCCCAGCGCGCAGTCGTCCCGTCCCTCGAGACGGTCAGGTCCGTCCTCTCCGCCCCGGTCGCGACGAACAGCACCAAGAAGCCGACCCTCGTCCCCGTCTACCGCCAGATCTCCTCCGACCTCATCACCCCGTCCGCCGCCTATCTCAAGGTCTCCGCCCACTACAAGGACTCGGACTACTCCTTCCTCTTCGAGAGCGCCGCCACCGAACGCGTTGGCCGCTACAGCTTCGTCGGTGCCGGCCCCCGGAAGCTGCTCGCCACTGGCCCCGGCTATGGCCCGGAGTGCGACCCTCTGCCGGCCCTCGAGGCCGAGCTGGCGCAGCACGTCGTCGCCCACGTCCCCGGCTTGCAGCTCCCGCCCATGGCCGGCGGCGCCATTGGATACGTCGGCTACGACTGCGTGCGGTACTTCGAGCCCAAGACAGCGCGGCCGATGAAGGATGTCCTCCAGATCCCTGAGTCGCTGTTCATGCTCTTCGACACCATCGTGGCATTTGATCGCTTCTACGGCGTCATCAAGGTCATCACCTACCTCCACGTCCCCGAGGACGCCTCCCAGCTCGAGGCCGAGTACCAGAAGGCGATAAAGGTCATTGACGAGCTCGTGGTCGTTCTCAACGCCCCAGAGATCCCGATCCCCGAGCAGAAACCTATCCAGCTCAACCAGGAGTACACGTCCAACGTCGGCCAGAAGGGCTACGAGAACCACGTCACGGAGCTGAAGAAGCACATCGTCAAGGGCGACATCATCCAGGCCGTGCCCTCGCAGCGCTTCGCCCGCCCGACGAGCCTGCACCCCTTCAACATCTACCGTCACCTGCGGACGGTGAACCCGTCGCCGTATCTCTTCTACGTCAACTGCAAGGACTTCCAGATCGTCGGCGCATCACCCGAGCTGCTCGTCAAGTCCGAGGGCGGGCGCATCATCACGCACCCGATCGCCGGCACCGTCAAGCGTGGCAAGACGCCCGAGGAGGACCAGCAGCTCGCCGACGAGCTCCGCAGCTCCCTCAAGGACCGCGCCGAGCACGTGATGCTTGTGGACCTCGCGCGCAACGACGTCAACCGCGTCGGCGACCCGTACACAGTCCGCGTGGACCACCTCATGGTCGTCGAGAAGTTCAGCCACGTCCAGCACCTCGTCTCGCAAGTCTCGGGCGTCTTGCGCCCGGGCCAGACGCGTTTCGACGCCTTCCGGAGCATCTTCCCCGCCGGTACCGTCTCGGGCGCGCCCAAGGTGCGCGCGATGGAGTTGATCGCAGAGCTGGAGAAGGAGAAGAGGGGCATCTATGCCGGCGCGGTCGGGTACTTTGGATACGGCGGCCTCGATGAGAAGGGCCAGGAGGTTGAGGGCGCTATGGACACGTGTATTGCGCTGCGGACGATGCTCGTCAAGGATGGCGTGGCGTATCTGCAAGCTGGTGAGTTGGCCCCATTTTTGCTTCAGTAACCAAGAAGGGAGCCGGAACTGACTTTCTCAATAGGTGGTGGTATCGTATTTGACTCTGACGAGTAAGTGCAACACATTAACATGGCTGGGGAGAGGTTTACTAACTGTTGATTAGGTACGACGAGTGGATGGAGACGATGAACAAGCTCGGGGCCAATATGCAGTGCATAACGACGGCGGAGGAGCTTTATTATGAGCAACAGCAGGCAGCGGGTAAATGATGATAGAGAAAAGTTCATATTTCCAACGTTTTAAATTTGATACCTCGAAATCTAGTTGGTCCTTGCGCCGATTGACGGGAACGAGGAAACGGATAGGCCGTTTCAACTCATGAGTCTACCAAGCTCACAGCGTGTAAGCGGCTTTGTGAGGATATCCTAGCGTGGCTACTCCATTCACAGTTTTCCTCCAAGATCTTATGATTGGGTATACCCATTCGGAAGCACCAAGCCTTGCCGGCTACACCTCTCGAGGCTGATTATATGTGTTCATCTTTACTCATTACTAATATGGGTGGACGGGAGTCTCAGACCCCTTGGTCGTCACACCCGCCAGACTACTCAACTGTGTTCCCCAGAACCCCAGAAGAGACCGTCGTTAGTTCATTACTATGATATACATTATACGCATGACCATGCTGCTTTATGCTTTTACAAACATGTTGTATGAGGGTATGAAAACCGACCCGACACCGAGGCCCACCGTCGTTAGCGTGGCCCAAAGCACCGCACCCGCCACGACGCCGTGCTGTAGGAGCCTCAGGTGCTGGTCCTGGCTCCCGCTTTTCCGCTCGAACAGGAGCCGCCAGAGCCACCGCCGCTCATACGTGGCGACCCACTCCTCGCCGGAGAAGACGTTGGCGGGCCCCAGCGTCTGCAGGCTCGGCTTGCGGAGCGGGTCGACGGCGCCGGCTACGCTCTCGGGCGTCGTCTTGCGGCGGTGGTGCTTCTCGGCGCCCGTACCGGCCTCGAGGTCTTCGGGCAGCTCCCAGGGGCGTATTTGGCGCCTGCGCGCGAGGTAGAGGGAGAGGGAGACGCCGTCGAGGGCGGCGACAAGGATGGCGAGGCCGGCGAAGATGAGGGGCGTGGAGAGGAGGCGGTAGTACCGCGAGAAGGGGGAGAGGATCAGGACGGCGTCGAGGGCAAGGCCGAGGATGAACAGCAGGCAGCCGAGGAGGCGGAGAAGGCGCGTCGTCGCGCGGTTGGTGTTGGCCATGCAGTAGCGGATGAAGTCAGGGTGGAGCTTGCCGCGGAGTACAGCCTCGGTCTTCTCGAAGGCGAGCAGGAGGGCCGAGGGGTGCGTTGTGGTGGCCGTCGCGGCGAGTACGGCGTTGCGGTCGTCTTTGGTGAGGTTCAGGCGGCGCGGACCGTCGAGGGCGATGTAGTGCTTCGTTATGGCGTCGATGTCGACGCGGAAAGGCTGCGATGCCGGCGCAGCTGGAAACTCTGGTCAGTCCATCTACTTTGACTGAACGGTTTTGTGTCTGTGTGAAGTTCGTGATGGGAGGTAGGGGGGTTATACGCGAGAGCGCGCATATTCAGGGGACGTCAACGGGCGGGTCTCACCTTGAGAGTCCGCGGCCTCTCGGCCCTCTTCGTCCTTCTCTTCCTTGATGACAGCCATCGTGGGATACGGAAGCTTGGTCACCACGGACGCGTTGCGCTTGTGTCTGCTGCCGCCGGCCTTGTTGATGCGGCGGTCGCTCTCCTCATCGAGCATCTCGAGGATGTTGCTCACTTTGCTCGAGTTCTTGGCCCGCCTCTCCTCGGGGGCGAGCGTTCTGCCGCGGTCCGGGTCCCAGCGCGGCGCGAGGGCGCGCTGCTCGGGCGTGAGTTCCGTCGTCCACGAGTGGATGTAGCCGCAGAACCACAGGAAGAACTGGAGAGGCTCGGCGTCCTGCTCGACGTAGACCAGAAAGTCCATGAAGTCGTTGAGCGAGCACGGCTGAGGGTGTGGACGTCAGCAAATGCGTCCTCCCTGATGGTTTCCCGGGCTCAATATTCCAAGAGACTTGCTGCCGTGGGGAGCTGCTCACCGATGCTGTGTTGTTCCTGATGACCTCTTCTAAAGCAAGCTGGGGAGGAATCCATTTGTCGGTCCGCCTCGCGCGGTGGCGATAGCGCCGGCAGTCCTCCTCCATCACAGGTGGACGCCATGGCCGTCCGGCGCTGGGCGTTGTGTAGAACTTGAGTGACATGCTGCCCGTCCAGCTGCGTTTCCTGCGTTGTCCCTTTTCCAACACCTAATATCAAGGGTCGTTCGTGTGCGAGACGTGCAGGTGTAGTCGACACCAGAGCGGATTAGCCACGCACAGCGAGGTTTCGAAGGGGATAGACACTAGGACTTCCCAAGAAGTTTGATACTGGGGGTCTGTCATGTATGTATAGGAGGGTGCGGGCAGGTGGCACATTGCACGAGGAAACAGATCCCAGGGTTCGGCAAAACCTAATACTAGCTTCGAGATGGGAGCCGGGGGAGGAGGCAGATCCGCCTTCCAATACACATACTCCCCCATCCGCACGTACTTCACCTACTTTGCTTTGCCTCGCCGTGATTCAGCTTCGTCCGACGTGTCGACCGCCGCTCGCCTGAGCTGGCGCCAGCCACAATCACCGACGAGGGCTGCAAGACCGGTTCATGGATGGAACAACACCACGCGGCGTCAGGTTGCCGGGATAGGCGGATACATGTGACGTACCGTGTGGAGTACTTGCTCTGCAAAGAAGTTTATGCATAGAAGTCCACGGAGATGCAGGTTGGGCCATGCTCGAGAGCATGTTCTGTACAAAATACACTCATGCGTCTGTAACGGTCGATATACCAACAAGGCTTGTAAGGCTGGCCGGAAGTAACTACACGGATGGACAGGGATCAAGCAGGCGGCGAGCGGCAGAGAGCGGGGAGTGGGGGGCTCTGTATCTCCTGTTCCCCCGTTTTCCCTTTTTGTTTTCTTCTGACGCTTCACCTCCCGGGATCGTCCTCTTGAGTGTTGGTTCGGCGGAGGGCAGTGCATTGGCAGACGGCCCCGTTGATAGGCGGAACCATGAAAGGATGGACAAGAAGGTTGTTAGCTATCTCGGTGCAGGCCCGACCTGGCACGATCGTCTGCCGGGGTATAGGGCCGCTGAGACGTGATATAGCAATTATATAGGGCATCAACTCCAGTCGGGTAGAAAAACATCAGTGAGTGGCGCTCTCGCCAAACGGCGGAGGGGTGTGGTTGTCAATCAAAAGCACCTCTGACCTTGCCTTGGCTCGCCATCGACGTTAAGCACTCGTCTCCTCGACGGTGCTGATTTTCTCCCTGCGAAGCCCAGCAGCAGAACGGAGCGAACCAAGCTGAACGGGTCAAGAAAGAGCATTGTACTGCAGCAGCCCTTCAGCTGCTCTTCTCTCGAGGCGTCACTTGAACGTCTGCGTCGGCGTGTGTCCCCAGTCGTCTATCCCATTACGGCGGTTCCAAGGGTTGTGATGAGCAGTGGTGGCCTGTTCCGGTTCATGCGTCGGAAGAAATGGAAAGCAGGGGGGCATGCGGCGGGTGGAGCGCTTTACAAATGGTCGGGTGTTTCTGGGAAAATGCGACCCCTAGATGAGGCGAGCCGAGGGGATGAATATCGCTATGTTGGTCTCGTTTCATGAGTAGTAAGTACGGAGTACAGAGGGGGTTTGTCGTAAACAGGACGAGATGGAAGAGGTGCAAGAGCGCAAATAACACGCAGCGATTGGTTCCAAGGCGCGACACCACGTTGCGTTTCAGGAAGCACGACAACCTGTTCGTCGCTATGCGGCGCGCATGGCCCCCGGAGGCGAGACAAGGTAAGGCGAGGACCGACTCCGTGGTCTCCACAGGACAGCCCGTGCGGCTGCCGAAGCTGGCCAGTCGAACTGTTGTTGGCGGGGTCAGGCTAAGCTTGGATGGGTATTTTAGTGAGATCTGAGAAAGCACATCCTGGCCGTTGTAATCGTTGCTGTTGTTGTCGTCCTCGTAACTGCCGCAGCCAAAAGAGAGAGGCATGACATGCTAGTGACACCGTCGGGTCGTCTAGTTTCTGCAATTTCATGCCATGACTGCACGCTGCACGCTGCACATCGCCGTGTTTGTCAGATACGGCCGAGGACGCATGTGGGGTCTGATCGGCCAACTGACATGCGTACGTTGCCGGCATAGCCCCGACTCGCAAAGACAACGGGTGACGAACCCGTGATTGCTCCCGTCTTGATGGACGAGCCGGTCCCTCTTCTCCCCCCTTCCCCGTGAACTGAAGCAATTGGTATTTCTCAAACTCTCCGTCTTGCTCCTTGTCCTCGTATCTTTTGCCAAGTTAAGCCCAAAGGTTTATGGGTTTCGAAACCTAGGTGTCTTCGGTCCAAGGTATTTTTAGCAATAGAGAACAGAGACGAACTGACTCCGAATGCAGCGTTCGGACACCAAGAGAGGGAAGAGAGGTGGGGGCGGGGACGAAAAGAAAGGACGAAAACTTAGGTCCAAGGCCGACCTTGCGTCGCTGACGTGGAGTCTGTCTGCAGTTAGACACTCGAGCGAGCGCCGGTGATCAGATTGATCGCCAATGCCGCCAAAGAAAAGTCCCGAGAGCTCTACATCCATACATGACCAATCCTCGAGAACATCCAACCTTCTGCATCTCCAAGAAGAGCTTCATTGTGGGATTTACGGGAAACTTGCCTTGTGGTGATTGTGTGCTCATGGCCCACCGCTCCATCGACTTGAGGTCAGTATAATCTTCATGCCATAACAACTGTTCCGGAAAGCAAACGTGCTGGTGTTATTGTCACCGTTGCCAAGAGGAAATCACCAGGGCAAAGCGCGAAAAGAAACACCGGGGGGGGGTGTTATCTCTTATGCCATCTTCCAATTTTGCAAAGATCCCGCCCCATCCCATCTTTTTTACACAGTCCTCCTCGCCGCTCTCAGAAACGCTCCTGGTCCTGGCTGACCAGCAATAAAGCGCAATGCGCCGAACGCGGCCCACGCGAACCCTGGTCTTCCAGGACTTGAAACCGCGCCCGGCCTGCAATACCGAACCTCACATATCACCTCATAACGTCATGCTCAAGTCCCAGTAGTAGACGGGCCTTGAAGCAGCTTCCAAACTCGCGAGCTGGTGTGTCTGCAGTATATTCGCCATTGCTTCTTCGAATTCTACTCGAGTCATCGACAACCTCACCTACGTATTAAAAAAATAAAATATAAAAAAAAGTGGGAAATACTATTCGGGCTTCTCTCACTCGTGCGCAAAAATAGGGCTGTTGAACTGTTCAAGTTCCCAATACGATTGATAACGCCCGACTACAACCAAATATTCAAGATTTGATGACACTGAACTGCTCTTATAGAGCCTCCCCACTAGTCTCCTCACCCCCATGTGATCCTCAAGATCGGCGGTTAACCCTATTTTGACACCCCGGCAGAATCCTGATCCCATCCAGAGGTATGCCCTCTGAACCGTGAGGCCACCCTCCAGGGGCCTTGCAACTCATGGGAGAGGGCCCGCCTTGTAACCGTACCTCAGTCAGGTCTGTCTTCACAAAGTTCCGACTGGTTCCGGAGATCCTGGTTCTTGGACAGCCCGCCCTTCTCTCCTGTCGACCGTCCGAGCGTGCCAAACATTCGAAAAAACTTCGCTAGTGTCGCGTCGTGTAGGCAAGAAACCCCCAAGTAAGTGAGTGGTCAGCAATTTGGTGATAGGTTGGTAAAGTTGAAATGTCATCCTGTAGGCGCTCGCCAGACTCTTATGCGCCCTGCGACCCTTCCATCTGTCTTTGCCATCGTTCAAACGATACGATGTGGTTTCGATAGGTTCCTCTTAGCCGCTATCACTTTCACAACCCCTCATCGTGTACCCAAACGTCGCCCCTGGTTTGTTTAAATCTCGTGGCGGGTGGCCGGCCTGACCGCAAGGCCCGGGACCAACAACAGCACCTAGCCGTCCTACACCGTAACGAAACATTGCCCGTTGCTCCCCCTGGCATGTTCTCTCATATAACGCTTCCAAATAGTATGAAGATCATCTAAGACGAGGAAGCTGTAGTGTCCTTTCAAGCGAGCTGAGAATTCAAGTATTCGGCCTCACAACTCGCATGCTGCGGATAGCAAGAGGCCATAACCACTGGATCTACAACGAAGGCTTACACAGGCTGATATCCCAGGTACGGTCCTAATCGACCAACACCGCTCGGGGTTTGCTGCGCGCCTGCGCTTGTCGTGACGACAATTTCCGAAACCTCTGCACAGCCCAACTCAGCTCAGAATAATGCTATGATGGACTGGTCCAGCGCCATTGCCCTCGAGTTTCTGGAAGCTCATGACTACTAACACGTCGAGGGCTTCAAGAAAACAAATTGCGTCCCAGGGCCAGTACGAGGAGACTCTGGGAAGTGGGTTTCCCTACCCGTCGCCCAGAGCAACCCCCCCCCCCCCCCAAACCCCGGTTCCTTTGAGTTCCCGCGCTTCACGTACTGCCTTGCCATCGATCAAACGTGTTTCCGCGCCCTCAAACGCTTCCAAACGTTATAAGGAGACCCCTCTACCCAGAGTCTCGATATTAAACACAAGCGGCCCCCCAATGAACCTGCTATCTTCGACAGCACCTGGAGACGAAGCCGCATAGACGGCAACCACACTGGGAGCAAGCCAGATTTCTCCCTCCTTCTAGGGTTACAATAGGACACACATCGGGCGGATATATAAGCCGATCGTCTGAGTGGCGTCTTCTTACAAGACCCTTCACCGGCGAGATCAGTGTGACAATGACGACTACGGAAGACCGCTCGACATCTGTCGTGTCTGTTTCTGAACGATAGCGGACAACGGAGAGGCATGAGAAAGTTTCGCTTTTACAACCGCACTCCTCTGTTCATATACCAGCTTCCAAAGCAGCTATAGATAAGTACGGCAACAAACACGCCACATGGCCACCCGGAATAGAAAAAGGCAGAAAAGAAACGGCAACGGCATCACGCAAAAGTCAGACCGGGAAGCAGCGATCATGACAATCGTGTCTTGGGGCAAGTATAAACGTGCTATCAGGGTTTGACGTTGTGTCTGAAATTTGAGCCTCTGAGGTGGCTCTTGTTAATTTTGCTTTCTAAAGGTATTGTGCCGACTTATGATCTCCCCAACGAAAGCTTTCCTGCGGCCAACACGCCTGTCTCGTGTGAAATCGCTTGCGCAGAAAAAAAAACGCGTCTCCAGAGCTACTCAACCATGCCATAGAGACCATGACACGATCCAAGCCCAATATCTCGTGACGAAGTATCCCCTGTTGTTGATCATACCAAAACCAAACTCAAACCCATCACACAAACAACCAGAGCAATCCACTTTGGGGCCAGAAAGCCAGCACCAGACGCTAGAAAGCTGTCTGATTCAGCGTGTATATTCGGATTTATGCCTTGACCTCTAGCCTTGAGAACAGGCAGGCCAGTCAGCAACGACCTCTCTTGACGCAAACCCAAGAAGTGACAAGCCACATACCTGCGAGTCCACCCAATGGCAATCTCCTGGGTGCTTATTACACCATTCTTCCGGCTGGACGGCACCATGCTGATCGTTTCCAGCAGAATCATAGACTCCGAAGCCATGGCCAGCGCCAGCTCCATCGACCTGGTCAGGTGCACGAGGTATAAACCCTCCGTGCCCCATTTGCGCCTCGAAGAAGTCTGTTACAAACACGACTCCCGTGATGCAGAGAGCTGCTACTACGAGGGCAAGAATGATTTTGGCGAAGAGAGACAACCACCTCGGTATGCGGAAGCTGTTTTGCGTATGCTGCTTGGGCTTGGGGCTCTTGGTCGTGGCTGGCGCCGGCGCCGGCGCCTTCTTGTGCTCTTCTGCTTTGACAGCCGGTGGCAGAGGATTGGAAGGGATGTCGAAACCCCACGCTACGAATCCTGTCATGTCTGCAAGAGTGGCTAGTGCCAAGGTAAGGATAGGGAATGATGAGGAGTCTTATCGGACTACCTTGGATCTTTGGTAGGATCCTAGTCAAGCGCAGATGGAATTCGGGGATGGCTCGCGTTTGGGTCGTATTGTTGGATGAATGATTCCAATGTTGATTGTGTGGTAACCAAGTCGTTCTTGTTTTGAAAGTGTGCGGATGCAAGAACGCTCATGTAGCATTCGCAGGAATGATAACTTCTTTCTGGACTCGTGGACGGTTTAAGAGGAGCCAGCCACGCTTTCCATCTTGGGCTCCGTCAAGTGATAGCGAAAGTAGGTAGGCACGATGCAAGGCCGTAGAGAAATCTCATCACAGGCATGGGAAAGAAAGAAGTAGGCGGGCGTTGTTCATGTAGACTAGCAGTCATTATTTGAAACGGTATTTTTGCCCTCGTCGTCTATTCTTCAGACCACGAGCTTCTCTAAACTCTGCTTGCAATGACGCATTACTGATCAATCCATCATTAGTCTCGCCGCAGGATCACTTCATGAACCGGGCAAGACATCAGCCCAGCTTCCAAGACAGTCGTGTTACCACCTCCACCAGAGGCTATAGAACTCCGAGCCATAACGCCATACTCAATGCCTTGCTTCATCATGAAGCTCCGTGTATTCGAAAATGGGGTATAAGCCATAAACCAGTTCACCACAAAAGTGAATACACATATGTACAAAAGAAGAAAAAGAAAGCCGATAGGCCGACTACATCCACACGGTGAAGAAGATCATGACACCGACCAAGCCGAAAGCCATTCCGGCAATTTGCTTGGTGCCAGATCCCGAAGGCCTTTCGGATGCTGAGGACTTGGCAGATTCTGTCGGCGCTGCTGCAGCGCTGGTGCTTGAGGCAGGGGTTGCTGATGCCGTTGGGCTCGACGAGAAGCTGCCCCTGAACGTCTCTCCGAGAGTAGGTAGGCGAACATTACCATCTACCAACCAACCACCCGTGGCCTTAGGACAATCGCGTGTGGAAACGCTGGTCGGATTGTAGTCAGACTTCATGACTCCAGTGGGAGTAATGGTAGCCCACTTGGATTGAAGATTTTGAAATTCGGGAGAGCGGGGAATCGGGGTGCCCTTGCGGGTGAATCCATCGTAGACATCGCCAGTCGTGATCGTCTTGGAAACCTCGGGACCATACGACACGATGCCATACCGGTTCTCCTCATAGATCCACTCATAGATCATGGCCCCGCTCCAATCGTCCACCATGGGTTGGCTAAAGATGGCGTCCTGGTCGTCCCATGTCCTGGGGCCTTGCCCGGTGATACATCCCGTCTCGGTGAAGAAGATGGGCACGGGGAATTGCTCGGCCATGGCCTGCAAATTTGTGTAACCCGACGTGTCGTACGTGCTGGGATCGCACCACTCGTACGAGTTGAGCCCGAAAAAGTCGATGTTGTCCTCTGGCTTTCCACCGCACGTAAGATAGTCCTGCAGCATGGGTCGCAGTTCAGCAATGTCGGCAGCGGAGTAGCCAACGGGGATCTTGCGATAGCCCTTCTTGTCTCGGTAGGCCTTCATGTCTCGCGCAGCGGCTTTCATGAAAGGGGCGGCCTGAGACTGGTTGCTAAGCGCGATGATCTCGTTGCCAATGAAGAAGCCGAGAACGTTGTCGTACTTCTCAAAGTTGTCCATGACCTTGGCGTACGCGTTGAATTGCGTCTCGTTCCAGTACGGGTTGGTCTGCAGGTTGTGTTAGCAACAATAAACAGGGCAGTCGAGGACGGCACTCACAGGAAGGATGTAGGAGTCAAAGGTATCCAAGTCAATGAGGGTATAAATGCCGGCCTTGTCAAAAGCTGCCATGCACCCGTCGTGGTTTGCGCTGGAGTCGACGTGGTATATGCGAATTGCGTTGGTGCCCAGCGTCTTCATGAGGCTGGCGTCGCGGGCGCATTGCTCTGTATCTACCAATGGGTCCTCTGAACAAGATTTAAGTTAGAAACAGGCGCTGTAGGCGTGCATTGAGTCTAGCTAGGCTAACCTGGCCTCAATTGATAGGCAATTCCTGTGGTTGCGTCAGTGACTGGTAATTGGTGATGACAGATCGCGTTTTTTTGGCGTACCTTTGATAAACCACTGCCTACCATTCTCGTCGAAGAACTTGTTGCCAACGATCTCGATTGGTGCAAGAGCAGCAGCAGTGCCAAGAAGCAACGCAGAAGCAAGATTAGAGATTTGCATGATGAAGCAATGATCCAAAGCCAAGATTGCGATAAGCTTCAGCCAGCGCGTGACGAAGATGCGAGGCTGCAGTGGTTTGGTGATGTCTAATTGCTATAGCTCCAAAAGAAGAAGACGAAGAAAACGCGCCCAAAACTTGCGTTGACGATTATGATGACGATGATGACGACGATGAGTGGAGGGATGCAAGTCGTTCCAACAAGAGATAAAAATTACCGACGGAAAACTGGGAGTAGTTGTTGATCGTGCGGGAGTTGGCGACTCGGAAAAGTAAAGATTTGTCGTTGGCCGTTGCTTGCTGCCTTTAGTTTTCTTCGTCGTCGGCTCGCCCTTTCCTTCCACAGCGTTTGTCAAGTTCTGCTTCCGATTCCAATCTCGAATCCGCTAGCAACCAACCACCAACAGACCCTTCCTCGGTAAAACGACAGAATGACGCAGAATTACATGCGCATGAACTGAGTTTAGAGGGCGTCGAGTAAAGTGGGAGGGGAAGGAAAGAAAAGGAAAGGAACGGAAAGGCCTGGCTGGGTATCGTGGGTAAGCAACCTCACATCAAGCGATTATGGAATGGTTGTTTTGTTGGGAAGTGAGCAAAGCCATCAGTCTTATTCCTTCGGCCCCTCGCCGCAGATTGACGCGGAAGCCAGTCCAAACAGCATGGCCCCAGCCTTTCTCTCTTTATTTTCCATATCTTTTCTCATGCCCCCCTGCCGTCCCTTCCCAGATGGTTGCTCTTTTTCTCTTTTTGGAATTCCATCCCACCTCTCCACACACGTGGAGTACCAAACGAAGGAAGAAAAGTGCCTAAGAACAGGAGCTTGGAGCCGGCGCTGGTGCTAGCAACAGCCCGGGCACAGGGTGGAAACGGTAGCGGCAAGGGTGCGGCAAGGGTGCGGCAAAGAGGGAAAGATAAAAAAAAAACGAGTCCGACAAGGACGTCGAGCGTGAAGCAACAAGGCCGGCTGCATGGGTCTGGCTGGATCAATGGAGGTGCGCCATGTTGTGCCATTGGCGTCGGGCCAGGGGGCGGCGCCGCCTATCTTGATTGTCGCCGGCCGCGAAGTGACCGTAGTCTGACTGACTCTGACTAGACTGGGTGTATCTGTGCAACTGTCATGGACTTTCTGCTGCAGACTGGCGGCGTTGGCTGGCCTCATTGGGCAACGCGGGTGGGTGATGCGAGACGAGACGACGGCATAAGGATGGAGCATGGCCCCTCCGGCCCTCGGGTAAGCAGACTGGCTGTAAGAAGAGGACGACGCGTCTCGTTTGGCTGTTTAATACGGATACAGTGGTCACAGATATGACATAATTCCTCCGGAGCTGGCAAGGATTATACCTATTCGAAATCCTAGCACCCTTCGATTCCTTCCACCTTCCGCCCTCGAGGCATATATTCCAATCGACCAAGGGGCACACACTGATAGTACCAGGATGACTTGACTCAGGGTTTAGGCAACGAACAATGAAAAGTCAGAAGCGACTCGGGTATCGCCAGAAGTTGCGTTTCTTTCTTTGCCCCCACGACTACGGAGTACCTACAATCGACATGGCGCCATCAGCCCGAAGCCACACCTTCTCCGATACCTGTCCGACTAGACTAGCGCCAGTACTGCTTGGAGCACAAGATTGGCCGGCGTCTTCTCGTCACCTTTTCGCTAGCTTCGCCTAGGTAGCTACGCCACCACCAGGCGCCCGGCAAACGGAGCGAGTTTTTCACGACCGTGGTCTAGTGCTTGGCTGCTGGTCAGAGATTTAGTGCTCCGGGATCAACGACCAAAGACACACGAGGGATATCGACAGCGAAGCATTTCTACCTGTCACTCTGTTTGGGCCACGTCGGCCACTACGTTGACGTTGACTTTACTTGACTTCCACATTGGCTCCCTATGTCTGTCCATAAATGTCGCACCTGGACGGGCTTGGCCATTTTGTCAGCGTGTGCAGTACCATGGTCGAAGATCAGATTGTGTCCCATTCGGCACCAATTGCCAACTCGATCAATTGCTTGCCTGGTGCGTGCTCCCTCCCTCCCTCTTTGCCGACTCGCCCAGACTGGTATATCTCTCCAGACTGACAATGTCCATCCCTGATTATTGCCATTTTGGCCGCTGCATTTCGTGGGTAAGAGGAACCTTCATCTACACTTGCAACAGCTCTCAAGTTAGAGTGAGCGAGCACAGATACACTACAGCAATCGGCGGCCCAGTGAGGATACCTTTTATAAACTACACCGAGTATGACGCAACGGCCTGATCGTAGCGTTCCATCGAAAGTCCCTCCTGGTCCTGCAGTCACGCAATATCACTGACACGGACCAGGGTAAGCTAGAACCTTGTCCGCTGTATGTTGCACTGACAACTGCAAAAAAAAGACACGAAAACCCAGGGTTCTGTTTCGTGCCGGAGAACAGCACTTTACTCCAAATAACACGACCTGAGAGTGACCCCGATATCGTGGAGAATTGTTTGCGGTTGAAGAGCGAACGATAAGCTCGACGTCATCTATCGACCGGAGCTCCGGTTTTATGCTGTATTACAGCAGCACCCCGACGTCGCCTCCATTGTTGCAGGCTGCGGCGTCCTCGAGTTTGGATCTCTCTTGGGAACCCTGCGGGTCTCTCCGGTACATCCGTTGCAGTTGGCACAAAACGCAGCAGCGGGCAAAGCGACTTGTTACGAAAAGGTCTGACTCTCACAACCACACGCAACGGATCGCCGGCTGTATTGGTGACACCTTTAGAACTGCTTGCGTCGCATACCACCGCAGCTTGTTCATTCAACCATGGCGACTAGATCCGCACGATGACATGAAGCACTTGACACAAGAATCCGACTCAGCAGCGCAGTGTCATAAAGTTGGGGCACATTGAACGGCATCGCCTCACTTCTTCTGCCACTGGCCGGACTGAAACGCCCACTTCATACCAAAGTCGAAGGCCTGATCATGATGATTCTGCATCGTTTGATGAGTGTCAAGACACACGCAAGCACCAAAGACCCCCAACACAAGCGCTTCCCCGTTGGCCGGCACCCTGCAGCGACTGAAACGTCAGAGGAATACCCCTCGGTAACAACCCCGACTCAAGGCGCTCCACCCCCCAAGATGGCCCTTGAACCCCGCGGAATCCGGACAAAGTTACAAAGCAAAA